GATTATAGTCTAAAATTAGAATTATATCCTGTCTAACTATTGAGATTTGCCAAGTTTGTGATTTGAGCGTAGTACGTATTAACTTAAATTTTTGATTTGCTTGATAAACTACTTTTACTATTGCTGTATAAATAATCGTGTTAAGCTGTATAGATTTAGACATCCTTACACTATACGTACGTACGTACATGCGTACATATATAAAAAAAGAACCATTTTCATGAGCGATCATGGCAACAACTAATAACACTTCGCAACGAAACAACTTGAAAAAAACATATGAAGATTTGTTAAAAGTTTTTAAAACGCCGTCATTGAAACCAGAATTACAATTGACAATTGTTGAGGTATTCATTGTGAAATGTATTTATTAATAATATTAAGACTTTATAGTTAAACCTATTTAAGCAATGCATATAGCTGATTTAATTTTCACAACATCGACATTATTTTTCGTTTGTATATTGCTTACATAATATGGATAAAATATTCTCTATTTATATTTTCAAAAACAATTAAATCTTGAAATTTTTATTCGCATTTAGATCTTTAATTGTGATTTAATTGTCAATCTTAATGACCTTTTTTCCAATCACAACATCAACCCTAAAGCTCGAATCTTTAGAATATATGGTAATATAATTCAACTATCAAGTACTTTAACAATTCCACCTTTGAATGGCAGTGGTATTATTTTGATAGTAGCAAGACGAATAGAAATTAAACCAGGATGTCAAATAATTGTAAATTACAAGAAATCATTCCGAATAGTAATATACGCTAAAGAAATAACTTCAAAACTTGAAGTTATAGCAACAAATCAACTAAAAAATGAATCAAATTTATTAAAATTCGATGCTAACATTTCAAAAGATAATAAAAATGTTGGCAAATCACTTACTATACGTGATGACAAGAGCCTTGAAGATAAGGATCTATACAATTTTGACAATGTTGTTCTTAAAAAACATTCATTCCTTAAAATGCTACGTTACTCTTTACTTATTGCAAGCGTCTTATTTTATGATGAACCTGAAATTACACGATCAATTCTCTCTTGGATTGTTAGAATAACTAAAGAATCTAAAGAAGCGAAAGAACTATGTTATCATGGATTAACAATCTCCATTCAACTTAATACCGTAGATAGAAAAAAAGATAAATTTCAATTTGTTCCGCCACTTGACATGAACATTTACAAAAAACAAATTGATATGTTAATGGAATTTACAAAATATTATGAAGAAAAGTATAAACAGCTTTTAGATAATGAACTAAAAAAAGAAAAGCTAGATGTTTCATTAGCGGATCATTGTGATCAGGTCGAAATGTACGAAAATTTAAATGATATGAAAAAAAAGCGTTACGAATCAGCGCAAACTTTGACGAAAAAAATTGAAAGTGTGCTTCAAGTGTGTATAATGTTTTATAAAAATGGTTTTTCAAAAAGATGCATTATATTAATTATTATTATTATTATTATTATTATTATTTAATAATAGGAAAGACAAAACTACGTAAAAAGTGCATTTGATAAACTTGAAAATGGAATTAGAGACTGGCCGGATGAACAAAAGCTCGAAGCTCAAAAAAAATTAATT